GGGGAAGGGGGGGGGGCAAGTACCACAAGGAGTTCAGAAAGAAGGTTCACAATGACTAGGATAGATTCCCCCACACCCAAAAAAAAGAGGCTCCCAGGTGACCAAGTACCCAGAACAGAAAAGGTAAGCTCCTTCAGATCTGGCATACAGCTCCACATGATGACCTTATGAGCCCCCAGCCCCAAGAGGCACCACAAACCTGAGAAGGGACCACAGTCCTACAGCAGTTGCTCCCCGACCCCACAGCAATCAAACAGGCAGTCTGGGACCTGGATGGCACCGTACCAAGTGCCTTTGCCCCCTGGCAGAGCAAAGTCCAAGAGCCCAATGCTCCCCTATACAAGAGGGAAGGGTTACCTTGGTCTCCCCACTGCTGTCTGACTCTGACACCTGGTAAGTGAGGTCCGTCTCCTCAAAACCCGTGGCACTCATGCGCTGATCAGTGGTGGGATCTGAGCGTGGGGGCGAGTCTGGCGAGTTCAAGCATGTCTGGATCAGGGCTTTCCCCGTCTCACTGGTGATCATGGGCTGCAGCTTCCGAGTGGCAAAAGTGTACACGTGACCTGTCTCACTTGCAACCAGGAGCAACACTTGCGTGCCTGTCAGGGTTGAGAGTTCATAAGCCTGCCAGGAAGAAAAGTGTAAGTCAGTCACAGGCAGCAGCACTTGCATGCAGGCCAAGTATCATCCACACAACCCCAAGCACAGAGCTGCCCCTCTACTCGCCCAAGCCTTAGAGCCAAGAGAAAGGCAGGACTCTCAGGTTTCAGGCAGGATGCCTCTTCCCTCTCATTATCCTATCTCGCAGTATGCCTACTGGTTAGGGAGCAGCACTGGACTGGAGAGCCCTAGTTCTTGCCCCAGAGTGACCTGGAAAAGCCACTGATCATCTCTGCGCCTCCTTCCTCAACTAGTCCACTTCAGACAGATTCTTAGAGCCATGTCTCTCTACAGCAGACAGTATAACAGGTGGAGGTGGAGGCTCCTTGGGGCTCTGGGTCTGTACAGCATGTAACACAGTCAGGTCCCCCACCTTGGGGGAGAGATGAAATAGATCTCGCTGACCTTCCTGCCTAGGCCCCATGCTATCAACTCCAACTTAATGGGTCATCACCAGGTTAGGGTCTCAGTCCACCTCCATCCTGCCATTATCTTCTCCCCACACCTGGCCACACCACTAGGCTCAACCTAGACTGTCTTGATGACTGAAACAACTATCAGTCCTTATTTCACACCTCCACAGCCATATAAACACATGCTCCTGCCATCACTAGAACAGCTTTCCAGCCTCCCCTCCCCCTTCAATGTTTCCACTGTTTCCATAATACAGCACCAATTCCAATTCTTGTTTGCATCATGCTATGTACAAGGAGCCAGCCAGCAGGCTGGAACACGATTTGTCTGCAGTTACAAAAGTAAAGGAATCAATGCATGTAACCAGGGGTCAGCAGCGTTTTTGGGCAGAATGCAAACACACCTGCAACCTTGACTTGTAAGATGTTGGTGTCCCAGGAGCAGACAGAAAAGGGACCAATCTTTGTTGTGGCAGCACAGCCCTGGCCCCTTCTCCATTGTCCAGTCTGAGGTGTGCATGGCCATCACAGAGCCTGGGCTGCTCACAACAGGCAGCAGGGAGGATGCAAGCTGCTACACCAGCATCCATGGAGCTCCAACCCAGCTCACTGACAGCAGTGAGTGCATGCACGCCTCAAGGCAGACAGCAGGGAAGGGGCTAGCTCAGTAAGGCTTTGGGAGGCTACCAAGCAGCCCAACTCTGCCACAGGTTATGAAGCCCTTC